CTTTTACTCTCTGCTCTCTATGCTAGGTGTGCGTTTTCTGGCAGGTGCTTTTACAATGCCCTGCAAGATTTTGTACCCTTAAATGCCCCTCAAGCTCAAAGCTATTAGAGAGCAGACCTGCTGTCTAAGCTCTGGACACGACTGTGGATGCACTGAATTCTCTTCGGTATGCTTGCAAGCCAAGGAATGGTTCCTACCCACACTTAAGCCAATAGGAGTTTTGCCATTCACTACAATGAGAGCAGAAATGGGTCCCATAATTGAGGGTGGCTTGTCCCACTTCTGGCCTCCCTAACTCATATTCATTAAAAACTGGCCATCAAATATATCAGATTGTGTTATCCACATATGTGCCCGTCAACAAATAAATATAGACATTCAAGTACCAGCTCCCTAGAAATTCTGCAGAGAAATGTGGCAATTATCATTGTAACCATTTAATATTAATCTGCATTTAAAACAAAATAATATTAGTTACAATTCTGGAAACCTATGCAGACCTACCTGTACTCATTCACCCTTTGATACATCCAGTGCATTGACAATACAGTAAATCAGAAAGCTGCACTTGCAATCAGCATTCATAAATCATTCTACAGATGGGCTTAGATGTTAAATACACCTCAAAACTTTGCTGAAATACAAATGTTCAGAATGAAGCAATGTCCTGAATATTACCTAGTGGTGCCTTATTGAGCACAAATCTGTAAATCAGGGGGGCTTTACAGCCACCATTTATGAATGGAAATAAGATTCCAGTTATACTTGCAACCATAGATAATCCAACCCCGTATACTGTTGTCTGTAATTGGGATATATATAGATGATCTCACGTGGCCTAACTGCAAATATCAAATGTATTTTTACAAGTTAGCCATGGCCTTTCTGACATTGCTTCTCAAGATGCCCTCTACATTGTTACTGACGAGCACAAATAAAACTCATTATGTAATATGGTTTAAAGACTTTCTCTACATTTGGCTTATACTCTCAGCTGTTTTTGAGCTGTCTCTTAGCACTGAGAGCTGTTCTTCCTGGCCTTTCTGATTTCTCCTACATGTCTTAATTGCTGGTTGGATGCTCTAATGCCATCTCTTAAAAAAATCTTTAAAAGAAATAATTTATTTTGAAGCTTGGATGAGCCATCTAAAACCACTAAAAATGTCTTATTTTAACGTGGGTGCATCACACTTGAAACATCAACTTTATTCTTAACACATTAATTTCAAACTCAATGTATATGTGCATAACATATGTAGATGTTCGAACAGTGTCATGGGTCAGATCCTGTAGTGGCTCCACACTCAGAACTCCCTTGGAAGTCAGGGAGTTTGGAACATGGTGCAGCTGCAGGAGCTGACTCTGTATTTGTTTATCTAAAGGATTTTCAAAACTTTTCAGTGTGAACCACATCTTAATAGAGTTCTTGAGACAATCTCCCCTCCTACTGACTACTGTGCAGACCACCTCCTATCTTACTGGCAATTGAGTAATACCACTGGGGCAACTATAATCATTTACATGGATAAGTAATATCAGGAAAGTGTTTAATGTAGTTTTAGCATCTTTTACTTCAGTTTAGCAGCTGGAAACAAGGAGACAGGCACATGGGACCAGCCTGCTCTCTACAGACCATCAATAAATACTCATGGACCACATTTGGGAACCACGGATTTACCCAATTTAGTCACACGCTTCATGACTCCACAAGTGGCTCTTCCACAAGTCATGTGTTAGCAGCCCCATCGCTGATATATTTGTGTTGGGCCATATCCTATTAAATACTGTAGCTTGAAAAAAACAAAATTACAATACTGTAAAAAATATGTAGGGAAAGAAGGTGAAGCGGGCCACCTTTTCCTTCTATTATCCACCTCTTGGGTCATGAGAAAAAACCCATCTCATTGGGCCCCAACATGCCTCAATAATCACCAGATTAATGTAATGGAATAGGGAAGGATACATTCTCTGCCTTAAACAACCCCAAAAGTAGGCAGTGAAGAGGAGAATTTATCTATGGATTCAAGCAGCCCTAACTCATGATAGGCGTAATCTTCCTTGCCAGATTGAAACTCTGACTTCAGTGAAAATTTTGGGTGCACAAAGACTGCCAACTGAGTCCTATCTAAAAAGAGTGGGAGAAGTCATTGGACCAAGGGTTCTTAATGATAATCACACTGGAAAACATCTGCTTCTGCTCAGGCATAAAGGACCCTAGTGATAAACATTCTGGGGAATATGTGCAAAGGCATAAATGGGAGATAAATGCTCCACTTCCATTGACTTTCAGTGGAAGTGGAGCATCTAAAGGCTTTTTGTGTCTTTGAAAATCTCCCCGTGTTATGAGAGTGGTGGTGTTTGGAGTGACCCAAGACCTCCTCAATGCCAACTGGCAAGGGGAGCGCCGTATTATTGCCTAGGCCGACAAGGCCTAGGCCTAGGGCGGCAAATTTGCAGGGGTGGAAGCTCCCCTCCGCACCCCGCACCCCAGCTCCAGCTCACCTCCGCCTCCTCTGCAAGCGCGCCGCCGCGTCCTGTTTCTCTCCCCTCCCAGCGCTTGCGCCGTGAAACAGCTGTTTCGTGGGGCAGGGAGGGAGGGGGGAGGAGGGGGAACGCTGCGCACTGGGGAAGAGGCGGGGCTGGGGGCGGGGACTTGGGGAAGGGATCCAATAGGGGAAGGGAGGGGGCGGAGTTGGGGCAGGGACTTTGGGGAGGGGGTTGGAATGGGGGCGGGAAAAGGGCGGGGTTGGGGCGGGGCCAGGGCGGCAATTATTTCCCGGCCTAGGGGCGGCAAAATTATTAATCCGCCACTGGCAAGGGGGAGAGGGGTGACAATATTATCCTGATTCTGGTATGTACATTCTGGTTCACCAAAGAATGTTATGTGAGGTCTTAAACGAAAAGCTGTGTTACACTGCTCATTGTCATTGTTGTAAAATGTATGTACAAATACTATGTAAGCAGTTCTGTATGTATACTGAAAATATGTTCTTAGAGTCTGTATCACAGCAGGGGTAGATACAGGTTTCCTGTCAGACAAGGGATGTTTATTTATGTATTCTCTGTTGAAATGTAAATTAAGTATTGTCTCATTCACAGTGGGTCTTCCATCACCTATCTAAGATGAATGCAGATGTAGGATTATAAGGATTTCAGGAAGAAACTAACAGAAACACAGCTGGGGGAAGAGAAACTTATCTTCAGATATACTTCAAAGGTTTGATGGACTATATTTGGGGAACTGAGTAGATAACCCACCATCCTGCATTTAGGAAGTAAACGGGCAGTGTGTTTACGTTAATGAAGATGGGATCACAGCCAGCCTTCATTGAAGATGTTAAAAAAGGCTTTGGGTCAGAAACTTCATTAGACAAGGAGGCTAACACAAGAGTTGAGTTTAGTCTCCAGAAAATGTTATGATTTTGTTTTATATGTAACCTTTGTGTTTTCATTACCCTTACTCACTATCTCTTGAATCTTTGATAATAAACTTATAGTTGTTTTTCACTATAAATATATCTCAGTGCTGTGGTATTAAGCAAGGTGTTGATCCTGTGTTGAATCATATAAGCTGGTGTGTACACTGTTCCCTTGGGGACAGAAGACCTGATATTTCTGTGAGAGTTTAGTGGATAAGTGGTTGAACATTACAAGGGAACACTTCAAAGGGTTTGGGGACTGGGCTGCACCTATTGTTAAACTGCAAGTTAAAGTAAGGGCTGGGATAGCCCAGAAGAAAGTGCTTGTGTGGCTAACAGACTGGTGATGTCAAGGAGCTGACATCCAGTTAAGCACAAGCAAGTTTCCCTCTCTCTGGAGGCAGGAGGATAACAAGGTGACTCTGTCCTGGGTACCTTGAGAACCATCACAGGAGCTCCCTCTATATTTGACAGTCACTGATGTATTCAGCCTTCAAAATCATGTTTGTGTGAAGACTCCAACCTCAAATAAAGGGCCTGATCCTGCAATCCCTACTCAACCACAACACCCATTGATGACAATGGGAGTTTTTCCTAAATCAGGACTACAAGATTGGGCCCCAAATACTTAATTGAGGCTTGATGCATCATATCTGAAAACAAATGTATAGGCAGAAACGTATTTCCACAGGTAGAGATGAATCTGCCCTGTATAAAGAATAGTTAAGTTATTGTGCAATATAAGACTAGAGTTCCAGTAAGGAGCGACATCATACATTTTGAAAATGGAGCATAACGAGTAGTTTGCCACCTGAACATTGACCGTAATTTCCTTGTATTATATTATTGCATGCTTGTTGTTTGTCCGGTCATATAACTTTAAAATATTTCTGTTTAAAACCCGGTCCATTTATAATCTACAAAATCTTTATTAGTATCAATAGTATGTTGTTAATAATTAAGTCATCTCTTTGCTGCTAATACCTGGGTTACTGTGCAAAGACACTGCAAATTTGTATTTTTTTAAAAATCTGTTCATGGGTGTGGTGTTGTTAACCTGTAAACTGGAAGAGTCACCCAACTAAAACTTCTGCCCTATGAAACATCCACAGCACAGCCGCTTAGGTAGGGTTTTAAAATGTCCAGCTGCCACAGAGGTAAATTGAATGACGAAGCAGCAGGGGAAGGATGTCAAAATATAAAACTGAGTACTTATCTAGAGACAGATTCTGCCTCCTATAACACGTTCAGTAGTTCCTATGCATATTCAGTAGTATCTTATTCTACAGTAGTCTAAGGGTGACAGCATCTGGCCCCAAGTAACTAAAGAGCAGAAGAAGAGGAGAAGCAGAAATCAGGTCAATATACTTCATAACTTTAAAAAATAAATCAGATGTTGGATTAGGGCCTTTGGGTGAAATCATGTTCTCCGCTCCACAAACCTCCTATTGAAGTCAATGGGAGCTTTGTGTGAGTAGAGAATTAGGTTTTGGTTCTCTGGGCTTGATCCTCTGCTGGCCCAATGGCTTCAGTGGAATTGTGCCGATTTATACCAGCTAAGAATCTGGCTCTGTATTTCTATTTTGCCTTGGAATGACTATTCCAACAATTCAAGCTTCAGTCGCACAATATGAACAAAATCCCTTGATCAAATTATAGCTCCCTAATGATTTGCAGTTGTTTTTTACCTTTCTCTCTAAAATCTTAACTGTAGCTTGGTTGCCACAAAGGCTATAACACAACACTGGGGGGTGGAGTGGGAGAGGCTATGGACAGCTGTCAGCTTGTTTGCATTTATAATCCAGTTCCACTGAATGTGACCCCAATGGGCTATTACAATAGCACAGAAGAAGAAGAACTTCAGTGCATAATCTGCTAGGGAATTCCACACAGGACTTGATTAAAAATCTGTGTGTATAATCCTGGTGCGGGTGCATATATTGCTGATTTAAATAATCTCCTAAATGATCTAGAGTTAGAAAAGGGGCCTTTACAGTTCATGCATTCTTTTTTCTAGCAGATTTAACAGTAGTGCTAAATGGTTTCACCTTGTGTGCTAAACAATCTCCTAAACAGTCTGGAGTTAGTAAAGGGGCCTTCACAGTTCATGCATTTTTTTTCTAGCAGATTAAACAGTAGTACTAAATGGTTTCACCTTGTGTCCTAAACAACAATGTAGGAATAGTTATAAACAATAGTGCTTGATTTCTTCCCTTGGGAACCTAGTAGTTTTAAGAGTAATAGTAGTATTCTAGCAGTTCAGTGATTGACAAGAGGAAACAACCACTTTCAATAGAAAGGTACCAGGCTCCTTTGTAGCTTTCACTTAAATTTTGCAGCATCCTCTAAAAAGAACAGGAACAGGAATCACAATAGGAATAAATATACCTGGCCGCCTAGTCCTGTTTGCAGAGATCTGCAACGTTCAAAAATTTCCTTATGACCATTCCCAGGCAAAGCATTAAGAGCAGCATATATCCGATGGTGCCTAGGAAGGTAGGGGAGGCAGGTGGGGATTTGAGGAACTGCAGCAGCCCTTCTTCTAGATAGTACATCTGGTCATAGATGCTGAGGAAGGTGAAGATGTGGAAGAGCTGGTGGCTGTGCCCGATGATATCAAACAGCCCCGGCTGGATCCTCTCGGGGATTTTGCTGATGTTGAAGAACGCGGCCACCAGGAGCCAGAAGTAGCGCCTGTAGAAGTAGACGAAGAGGGTGGGGTTCTGCCCCTGCAGGTCGAAGAGGAAGCTCTCCAGCATGATGGGGCAGGCCATGCTGAGGGGCATGGCAAAGACGAAGGTCCGGATGGCGAAGGGGTAGGCGCACCACTCGGAGCGGCTCTTGCAGCACGCCACGGTGCAGGTGACGGCCAGCACAAAGGCCACCGGCAGCACCAGGGCGCTGTAGAGGGCGATGGGGAGGCTGCAGTCCAGCTGCCAGCCCAGGCGCTGCTGCAGGTAGCGGCTCATGGCCCGCGCGTCCAGCAGACGCAGGCCGGGCAGCAGGTAGTAGGAATAAGCCACGGTGCTGGCGAAGCCGTAGTAGCTGATGGAGGCGTAGTCCAGGTAGAAGAAGGCGGCGCGCAGGCGCAGCGAGAGGCAGCTGAACACATGGGCCGTGCAGCTCATGGCAAACGTGAGCAGGACGCCCGAGGCGTAGCACCAGAGGGGCAGCAGGAGGGGGTGGTGGAAGGGCAGCTCGCCGGCCCCGCTCAGGAAGAAGAGCCGGCAGAACTTGCTCAGGAAGAGGAGCAGGGGGATGAAATGGGTCCAGAAGTTGAGCGTCTCGTTGGTGGGTTGCAGCACCGAGGCCAGGCACTCCTGGGCGCTGCAGTGCAGCCGCCGGTAGCCCGACAGGATGAAGCACTCCACGAAGTCATCGGGCACCTCATCCCAGCGCAGCAGGGGGGCAGAGGGAGGAGGGGGAGGCGCCTGGTCCTTTGCTGCCCGGCCTCCAGGCATGGTGCCCCCCTCCCCAGCCCCCTCGGCCCGCCGCGGTGCTGCTCCTCTGCGGGGGTGGCGGTGGGGGGAGGAGAGGGCGCCTTTGGGGCCCCGGAGCCGGAGCCGGGCTGGTGATGTAAGCCGGCAAAGGAAAAGCCGCTTTCCCCGCTGCCGCCGGAGGAGGAATTGCAGTGGATTTGTGCTTCTCCTCCTCCTCCCCCCGCCAGCATCACTCATTGCAGCAGCGGCAGCATCGCTCCAGCCGACGCGCGGCGGCAGCTCCTCCTGCAGAGGAGCCCAGCCTCGCGGTAATTCAGCCCCTGCCGCTGGAGGAGACCGAGACCCTGCCCGGCTTGGGGCCCCGAGTCCCCCCCCGCGGCAGAACGGGATGCCGGCTCCTGCTCTGTGCCCGCCTCCCCCGCCGCGCCGGTTAATGATTGATGCGCTGCGAGCGCAGGCGGCGGTCTCTGCCGGCTTGGGCGGGGGAGCCATTGATTCGTAAGGCCTGGGACAGTGCGCCTACCCCGCCCCCCCTCTCTGAACACCCGATACATTGTCAGCCGGAGGATGAATTTTCCACTCCTCTCCGCGGTGCTGTGGTTTGCATGTCACTGTCATCACGGGCTCTTTCCCTCGCTCAGCCCGCAGCTTCGTGCGGCTCCCTCTCGCCTCCTTCTAGGAAATTCACAAAGCAACCACTTTGGGGAGGGGAGGTTAAGGGGCGGGCGGTTTGGGGAGAAATACGCAACAATAGGTGCTTTGAAAGGGGCACACCATTGTATTGTCTTTTTTTTTAATTAGCCACATTGGAGTATAACAGACACAAGTGGAACATTAAAAAACCTTACACATTTCAGTGTGTTAAATGCACAGTCGTACTAAATGCATCAGATCAGACGCGTAAGAATCCCTGGCAACAGTAAGAAGGGGGCCCACTGGGAAAGAAGAGATAGCAATGCCAAAATCGGGAATTGCTGACCAAACAAAACAAAGACCTGGTGGCAACCTCCCTCCCCTCCCCCCCCCCATCCCCTAGGCGAGATAACCGGTTAAACTTTAATTCGTTTGATCTTTACACTCTATATTTCAATGAATATGTCAAAGTACCATGCTGGCCATGTTTTCTTTTGGTGACATTGTACTATGCAAAGGACACCAATCTATGTAAAAGACTTGCGGAGAAATATTTATCCCACGTGCCTGGGAAGAGTATATTTACTGTACTTATGGTATGTAATGTGAACAGCAGCTTTTTGCCTGCTGGCTGACAGTGAGAATCTACAATGGGCTTGACAGCAGAGGCTCTGTGTTGATCCTTGGACAAATCCTACATTTATCAACGGTGCCATTATGTAATTGGTACAGTTACATAATCAGAATATAAAAAATGATACAGAGAAAAATGCACTGTAAGCATGTAACTACACTGAAAGATAGTAAATATAGGACTACAGAAAGTTTGGTAAGGAGCTGCAGGCTCAGGGTAGTGGTCAAATGGATAGGATGTTCTTTGCTGTTCTGGTGTGTTTCCTCTTTTTGTTTGTAATTTAAACAAATCTTTCAAAAACACTTGGCAACTGTAGACCATTCTAAAATAATGTCTTTATCACATTGTAATACATAAAGAACAAATTTGCTCCATTATAATCATCATAGTCCTTTTTATATGATCTCTTAACATATGTCAGGCCCCTCCCATAGTCTACAGGTCTTCCTGTCTTCTTTTCTCAAAACTCAACATGCCCAATTGTTTTAACCATTCCTCATAGGTCAGGACAGGTTTTCTAAACCCTTTATCATTTTTGTTGCTGTCCTCTGGACTCTCTCCAGTTAGTCCACATCTTTCCTAAAGTGTAGCACCCAGTATTGAATACAGTGCTCCAGCTGAGGCCTCACTAGTGCAGAGTAGAGCTGGACAGTTACCTCCTGTGTCTTACACTCCTGTTAATACACCCCAGAATTATATTAGCCTTTTTCATGGCTGCTCACATTGTTGACTCATATTCAATTTGTGATTCACTATAAACCCCAGATCCGTTTCAGGAGTACTATCACCTAGCCTTTTATTCTCCATTTTGTAGTTTTGCATTTGATTTTTCCTTGTATTTTACACTTATTTTTATTGAATTTCATCTTGTTCGTTTCAGACCAATTCTCTGATTTGTCAAAGTCTTTTTGAATTCTAATTCTGTCTACTCCTCTTCCCCTTTTGTTCACTCCTCATTTCTGTTTTTCTTCAGCAGAACCTTTAGGGTATAGATCAGGGGTTGGCAACCTCTCAGAAGTGGTGTGCCGAGTCTTCATTTATTCACTCTAATTTAAGGTTTTGCTTGCCAGTAATACATTTAAACGTTTTTAGAAGGTCTTTCTATAAGTCTATATATATAACTAAACTATTGTTGTATGTAAAGTAAATAAGGTTTTTTAAAATGTTTAAGAAGCTTCATTTAAAATTAAATTAAAATTCAGAGTCCCCTGGACCAGTGGCCAGGACCCAGGCAGTGTGAGTGCCACTGAAAATCAGCTTGTGTGCCGCCTTTGGCACATGTGCCATAGGTTGCCTACCCCTGGTATAGATTCTATCTTGACATATTCTGTGCATCCCCATTGACTTAATACTGTCGGTCTGGGCAGACTTTGACTTTACTACAGTAAGGTTAGATCTAAATTCCTACCCAGACTTTCCTTCCTACTTGTTTCCACATTGATATCAAAGTTAGGATCTAACTACCTGGAAGATCAATTAACCTTTCACAACCAGCCAAAATGGCCACACAGGGCTACTGCAGCTGGTTAACCTCAGATTCAGATTGGGATAAGAGCATATTTGGTGGCAGGACCCTGACACTGAACCTCCTTACTAAGGCAGAAGCAGAGTCCAGACATGAGCACATACGGCTCAGAATTCCATACCCACTTATTTTGTAATGCCTTCCTCCAGGAATGTCTTCTCTCTTCTGGACAGTATTTTTAAAATTAAAATGGTAAGTAATTTTCACCTAGCCAGCATTCATGGAAATAAGGGATATGAGGAGAGTAAGAAAGAGAGAAGAAGAAAAAGCGAGGAAAAAAAGAATTTAGATTCACGGAGACAAAGTTTTCAGAGTTCCCTTTTTCATAGATTCATAGATTATAGGACTGGAAGGGACCTCGAGAGGTCATCGAGTCCAGTCCCCTGCCCGCATGGCAGGACCAA